AATGTGCACCAAATTCGCATATACAGTAACGCAAATTTATCGCATATACATTGTATTTTCGAAAGCTTGTCGTTAAAATTGACATCCACTTGTCTTTAATTCAATATGCTAGTTTTTTTCATCTTTTTCCACAATCAGATACTTTGTAAACGAAGTATGAAACTATATCTGATTATCTGATTATCTGATATCCCAGCGTGTCACAGGTGGAACTTGACTTCATATATCAAGATGCTGAAACAGTGAAACAAACAATCTTAAAAACATTTATTGAATGATGAAGAGTTGGGCAGTTTTGCTGAAATAGTCAAAACTTAATTGTTTGCAAGCATACTTGCTTGATCTCACTAGGAATATTAAGCTAAATTAGGGCAAAGAATGCGTGGATGTTCAAGACGGCAAAAAGCCGTAGATTTTTTTTGCTATTTAATAATAAGACAATTGCTATACAGTTATCGAAGCAAGAAAGAAAATGTGAAGATAGTTGCACAACGTTACAAACAAGTGAATATAATACCATCAGTCACCACCATATTACCGATCACCCAAATCTCTCATCACCCTAATCGTCTTCCGCCCGCAACTGCAGGCTAGATGTTCTTTGGCGGGAAAATTGACGTAGCCATATTTATCTTCGAACTCGTAGCTTCAATCACATAGCCATATTTATCTTCGAACTTGCGAAGCCGCGAAGTCAGAACAAAAATTTTTTGACAACAAACTTCAAGCTTTTGTCACTCAGAAAAAAGCACCAAAACATATTATTCTACTGCCGATGGGACAAAATAGAGCACCTTAAGGGAAAATGTGGAGTATATGCTGCCTTTTGAGAAAGATATACAACGATTAAAGCTTAAAATGAAAGGAAATACGACGTTTGATTTGAGCAAAATATCCGACGAAACAACAAAATGGCTTTTTGTTTCTCCACCAAAAATACTTTATTTCACAGCTGGATCAACAATGAAAGTTGTATTTGGACGCTCAAAACAAGGTCTGTAGATTTTACTTCATATCAAGTCGGTTATATTTTATTTTAGAATGTTTTTCAGATCCCTCATGAGCTTTTACCGAGCTTTTGACCTTTTTGTTTTCCCAATTTTTGAGCACAGATATTCATTTGACAGTTCTGATTTGCAGTTATTTAACGTTGTCCTCGTATGTCTAGATATATTTTAAATTAACTTTAACTATAATATTTAGTACAGCATATATATTTCGCTTATTGCTCAAGTTGCCAAGCTAGCATAACTACAAGGAACAAGGCCAGAGTTTCCTTTTTATTGTTTTTACCTTGTATGCCTTGCTTGTAGACCTATTTGCCCACAATTTTGACTTATTTTGTTGTTTAATTTACTATTTTCTTACTAGTATCAAGTTTTACGATTCTTGATTTGAACCACAAGTTAGTTTAAGAATTGAATGTGATTTAAATTGAAATATTGGATCTATCTATTAATTAAGCTTGGGTATTTATAAAGCTGTCAAAGCAAAAGGCAAAGCCAGTTGGCAGGGGGGGGGGGCAGAGGCTCCTTGTTGGGTTTGGCCCCCTTAATATTCTGACTCAAGGCTTACCAACTAGATAAGCCCTCTTCCCCTTGTTAAATTAATCAGAAACTGACCTCTATTTATGAAATTTTCATTGCTTATTAAGCCTTGTTGTTTAGTTTGCTTATTCGACAATTATCATATATGATATGATCTGAATTAAGTTTAAGACCATTAATAAAATTTGGAAACCCCAACGGTCCATAGCAAGTTATAAAAATAAATGAAGCACTAGAATGGAAAAAGATGTTATATTCTAATTGGTACAAATAAATGCCAATAGAAATCATATTATATAATAACTACAGTGAAACACGCAATTTGATTGGTCAACAGCCGTGCAGGATCAGACAATCCTGCACGGGAAATTCTGAACCGAAATTCTTGCACATAATTTTACAAATATACTCGCATTGTAAAGTTTCATTGTACGATACCTTTCGACTTTGAAGTAAGTTTCCAATTATTGAGACGTTGGTTTAGTTGTATGAATAAATTTCTGATCGATACATTGCTGTTCAGCAAGTAGCAACGCGTAACGTTGAAATTCATCAGACCATGGCAAGTACAACATCTCTCGCTTCAAAGTTCAAACGCTTCGCAATCTTCAAGTATTCAGGTCGAGAATCTTCAGAACTACTTTGGCTTTCTGTTTAGCGGGTTTTCCATTTCAAATTTCGTATATTTTATCGAAAAAGTCTCTGTATTTTCGCTGTATATTTTCGCGAATTTGCGATCAAATTCTGTTCACATTTGTTGTTGTTTTCAATAGCGTGCAGTAGCGATTCTCCGATTGGTTAATTCACGATTGTTGTGAGAACTGCACATTTCATCAGTAATTTTAATCAAGTTAACCGTCGTTTCACTGTAGTAATTTTATAAAACAATTACCAAATGGTTTTCCCGAGCAGGAAAGCATGATCCATGCACTTGGGATGATGCTCGACTTTTGGAAAGCGTAAAAATACACTCGCCTGCGGCTCGTGTATTTTCACGCTTTCCGAAAATCTCGCAACATCCCGCGTGCATGGATCACGCAATCCTGCATGGAAAACCATTCGGTATTCCTTTATTATTGAATATTAGCCAGTAAAGTGTGGTTGACATGTTTTTTTGGAGTTCCACTTGGCTTTGGAAAATTTATAGCATAAAGATTTTCTCCCCCTTAGGAGATATAATACCGTATGTACATTTTTTACCAACTTTCTATAGCAAATATTTTATCAGTAACTAAGCCAGGAATTTTAAAGGGGAAGTCAAGTCCGTAATGTAAACAAACGGTTTGTTTACATTTTGAACTGCTGTATTTTTTAAAATATGATGTACTGTCTGAATATCTAACACCATTTTGGTTCGTTATGCTTCGACATGAATATGAAATAGAGTTTGTGTTCAGAAAAATTCGAAACATTCAAAATTTGGGCAATGTTTACCTCAGAGGGCCCTCTATTGTTATGCGCAGAACCGATGCGCAGAACGGACTTGACTTCCCCTTTAACATTATTAATTGAGGAACTTGACAGAACAAAAATGCTTGATCGCCATACATACAAACCTCTGAGTATTAAGAAGAAATATCCAAGCCCGATATACTAGTACTTTTCCACATGATATACTTTTCACAGTCGTAAGTCATTTTCAGATCTATGCCGAAGGCCTTCGTCTTTAAAGTTTATACTTATGGACCGGCCTTTGACACCCGGAGATTTATACCCGAAGATTTGTGCCCGCCTGCCCGGAGAAAAAGGGGTTGTTCGATTTGACAAACTCGTGGTCGAGGAATTTTCAGAACTGCTGCTGTTTGTATGATAGTTTCTTTTGTGATTACGTTGAGGATAACTAATATAAATAAGTATATTTGGGGACAAAAGCTTCAAGTACATTATTGCTGATCTAGAACGGTAAAAAACTTACTTATTTTGTAATATATAGCGACGTAATTGCATGCGAATTGTTATGTTTTATTTTCTTGTATTTATATCGCTAATTTTAGTTGTTTGGCTAAGTACTTTGTTGCCTTGACTAAATGTGCCTTTAATTGGACCTTTCGAGTCATATGTAGTGTGTTTGTAATGTAAAATTATCTGTTTTTGTAGCGTAAATAATATAAACCGTATCTTGGGGAGTATCAGTGTGGAAGTACTTCATTTAAGCGTAATATACAGTCCCTCAGAAGGCGCGAGAGGTTGGTCGGTGATTAATACTCAGTACGAAACCCCTGCGCGTGAACAACTTACAAATTGGTGAATTCATTTTCGTTATGTAAAAAGTTCCCCAAGTTTCGAGCTTTTATACTTGGGTGGTCTGTCTAATGAATCATTAAAATTTAACTTTTCAGAAATTAATGAATGTACAGAAGGAAGCCACAATTGCCATGACAATGCTACATGCGCAAATACAGCTGGTTCATTTCATTGTACTTGCAATCCTGGCTACACAGGGAATGGGACTTATTGTCGAGGTTTGTTCTACGTAATTCACCTACTGTTTATAATAATTATAAAATACACCTTAAAATAACTAATACACTGAATAGTGATAAAACTTGTTTTAAACATAATTTGATTAAAGTGTGAGGAACCTCCAATATTTTTAGCAGTTGCATATAGTCCTGAAACGTTAACTGGGGAATTTGAAAGGGTAAGGCGTGGAATGGCAAGACGTGGAAGTTAGTATAGGTAATCATGTGATGGCGAGTACAATTAGGAATTAATAGTATGAGTGATATCGATGTTTGGAAATTTGCCAAATTGGACGAGCTGCCGGGGCGAGTACTATTAATCCCTAATTGTACGAGCAACATCGCATGATTACTTGTTTATTATTAGCATTACAAAATTGGATAGTTATCAATGTCAACATCATATTCTCTCGCCAAAATCCAGTCCTGCCAGACTTTCAACCAAAATTTGGTGCTTTTGTTCATATGTTCATTTAGTTCCTCTAGGGCAATTTCAGTTCATGTTTGTGTTTAAAATGCCTTTCCGCCATTTTGTTTGTTTTGGGAAAATCATTAATTGTACTGCAGTACAATTAGTATAGGTAATCACACGGGAAGGAGTGCAATTAATGATTAACACTACGAGTGATATTTGAAAAATGTGCCAAAATTTTTATTTATTATATGCATGACAAAATTACTGCTATTCCCCCCCGGTATTGACGTCACGCGACTGCAGAGAACACATGTGCTAATGAAATATTATACGTAGCTGAAATCAACAAGATCTAGTTTATTTAAACGTGTAAACTATGTACAAGAAGTAACTATAAACGTCTTCCTTCATATTGTTTACAATAAATTATTTAAGATTTATATGAAGTTCAAATATTAAGTCGAAATGTCCAAGCGAAGCAGCGATGTAAGTTCAACAACAAACGATTGTTCAAGTCATAGTTAAATCAAGTTCAAACTGATAATAATATCCAACAATAGTCGAAATTTCAGGAGTTTATTCCTGGGAATCGGAATCACTTTCAAGAATTCGTCTGAATGGACGCTTTTGACCTTTGGGAGAAGTAACTTGGTTCATGTTGAAGACGACATTACAGTTGTAGAATTGGTTGCTCGGACCGGATTGACTCGATGAACTGCTTGTTATGCTGGAAGCCCAGTGTGGATAATTGAAAGATTGTGTTGGCATTTGTTGTGGCGAAGACATCGTTTCTATTTGGCGGCACTGACCAGCATTAGCATTGCTTATTAAATTTGATATATGGCGTTGTTCGACTTCGTTTCCTTCATCATAGTCGTTTAGTGACTGTTCATTTCTGTGCCCGGTGACATTCATTATGGACGACCGCTCCACGTTACTTGCTCGCAGTTTCTTGACCAGTGTCTTTCTGGCGGAATGATTGGTCAGTTTCTTACCACTGTCTTCGAGGGATGTATTGGCAATCACCAACTTCATGATTTTGGCAATGGAATTCACCCCAAGTTTTACTCGCTTGTACCAAACGATGTCGTGTTGTGTTTTTTTCGGCAATGGCGTCAGGTAAAATGGGCCTTCGTAGCGTATTTCATGTGGTCGGTGGTTGATATATTCTCGAAATAGCGCTACTGGGCACCTTTCTCCACCGGTGGCAAACATTTTGGGAAGCTGCTGTCGTCTTGTGATGTGAAGACCGCCCTGGCGTGTTTTTGTTGGGCTTTCGTGAAACGTTATGTATTCATGTCCGTTGTCGTCTTCGCCGAACGAGAAGTCTTCGACAGACATAGTGTGATGCTCTTGTCTTCCTCGGAGCCCAAAATGCTGGGTGAGTAACCACCACATTGTATTTGTTAAAATTTGCGGAGACGAGTTGCCAAGTTTTCCTTCTTGCCATAACATTTCTTCTTCTTGTAGAGTAAGAGGTTTGGCAGCGTTAGGTCGTTTACCGCGGCCTTCTTTGCGAAGCTCTCGAGCCTTTCCTTCAAGGACTTTCTTTGATTCCTCAAATTTATCATCGCGAATTATTGAGTAGGGGTATTTTTTCTCTCTCAGGTAACGGTCCAAGGCAGCCTGCATGACCTTCAGACTCTCTGGCTCGTATTCATTACCTGTCTTCGTTCGCACCTCCGCATAAAATTTTTCAAGAGTTTTATTTAACTCTTCAGGTGGATAATTTTCCATTTGAACATGATAATTTCGGCACAAAGCCCATTCGTGCCAAACATTTAACCAACTGGCAGTGCTTTTTTGTGTATTTTCATTTTCTGCTATTTTTTTAAGTAAGTGAATAGTAGACTCACTCGTATTTACAAAACGAGCCGCCATTTTGTTTTTTCAAATCATTAATTGCACTCCTGGAGAGTGCAATTAATGAAATAATTGCACTCCTCTTAGCCAATCAGATTGCAGTAATTTTGTCATGTATATAATAAATGAAATAATTGTACTCCTCTCAACCAATCAGCATCCAGTAATTTTGTCATGCTAATAATAAACAATATAACAAACGTGTTAATTCCAATATTAATTTCTGAGTCATGTAATTGTTGCAATTAAGCTTTCTCAGTGCCTCAATCGTTCTCTACTTCATGAAGAACCAAGTTAGTTGATGTTAGAGTCGCATGTATTAACCGATATAGCACGCAAGACCATTAATTTTTCGAAATAACCTATACAATCCAGGTAAAAATTATGAAATCTAGATTTAAATCTAATTTAAATCTAAAGTTGCAGGGGTTCCCGCTTACAAACATCACAAATTACTCTTAGACTCCATGCAGCTGCGTTTGTTCACATATTACCGTAGGCTACATGAGTTTGTGGCACCGGATCATGTAATTAAATAAATTATCTACTTGTTAACACCCATGACCTATTTCCTCTACACGTGTTTTATTGCCGAATTTAACGACGTAGGACCCATGCTTCGAGGTTGAAACTGGTGAAACCCAGTTGAATAACATTGATACCAACATCATAGTGTTCTTCAGAATTGGGAGCGTTTTTGCCATGCAGCATTTCTGCCGTTCCTAAGTTTTTTTACTTTTATATAAAATGCTTTCGTCTTCAGAGGCTTAAACAAAGTGTTAGCGAACACTGATACAAACACTTTACTGTTGGTGTGGACATGTGCATGTTGAACATTATATTTATGTGTGATTAATATGTGTATAAAGCAAAATATTAAGCATGATTCGTAAAGGAGGGCTGCTTAATGGAGGTTCTACTATAGAAGTCTCAGGCCACAGTCTGGAAACCTGTCCAATATACCCAAATTATATATTTTTGTAATTTGTTGTTTGTAGGTGAAGTATTTAATTCTAGAAAAAATTTTGTCTGAGACACACATTTTCTGAAACTCACATTCCCTGTTACAAGATTTTAATTAGAGAGTCCTTGAATAGATGAATTAACATAATATTTACAAATACTATGTATACATTCATGCATACAATGTAAATTTGTAAACAAAACTAACTTATCTATAGTTGTCTATTAATATATGAATTTACTTATCTGGCTTTCTAGTTAATATCTATGAAAAGTAACCTACAAACTATGCACATAATTTGTCAATGAACATCAGACATCGTAGAAAGTGCAAGAAAACACATCGTACATTGTAGAAAATTACTTCAAATACCTCAGGAAAGTGGCATTTTTATTTCGCCTATAGTTATTCACTCCTATGACGATCGAAAAAGAGAAAATTTCGTAAAATATTGCAAACTAAGTGTGATGAACTCACTTTTCCATTACGCGTACTGACGTTTAAAGTTTTAAATACAAAGTTAACCACACAATCCCTCTCTCGGGCAAATAAAAAGAGTCTATTTTCATGTTTGTTCTCTCAAAATAAAATTGTTGCCGCCATTTTTTAATTTATTGTTGGGGGGTTGGGGGGTGGGGGGTGAATGCCTCTAGTCACTTGCAAAGCTATGCGCAGTACGGCATACGCAGTGACCAAGCCCTTGCGCTTTTTTGACTGAAGTCGGAAATCTGGTCCTCTTAATCTGTGCTCTCGTGCAAGGTTGCGCAAGCACATAAACTGCGTGTCCAAGAAAAATTAAATTTCGACTTAGAATTACAATAATTAGACTAATTAGGACTGCAATTATTATAGTCTGTCTTAATTTATTTACACTGCAAAGTCCATAATACTCACTTGTTCGTATTTGCCATTCAATTCCGGTTTAAGTTGCTGGATAAAGGAAATATTTGGTAACGAATAGAAATTGTGTGCGTTGCCTCTCATCTGTCAATGAGTTGGGGCCTGGGGATGAATAGTAGGGGCATCAGGGCCGCCCCGTTAACATAACGGGGGGTCTAGTTTCAACACACATGTGTGATCAAAAACTTTCCAATTTGATCTTCACCGAGGTGACAGCTGAAAAATTTCATCATTTCTTTTATCTATAAAGAATATTTTGTTTTGTAGACGGTGAACATAGGTTGGTTTATATGCTATTCTGTTTCACTATTTATTTATTGCCGTATTTTATCGATTTTCGTTAACGCAATTTATCGATTCATTGACATTTTGTTATCTCAGCCCAAATCTTCATATATTTGTCATGGAGATAAAGTGTTCCCCCGTTGTTTCGAGTTTGATTTTTGACCATTCTTTCGTTCGAAGACTTAAGGGACCGGTTATAAAGTACAGGGTTGGGTGGTCTGGAAAAAACAGGGGGTGGGTCATCGAATTTTGAACATCTAAAAAGGCGTGGGTCATTGAAAATTTAACAACAGTTTGGGGGTGGGTCATAGTGAAATGTGCTTGATTTATATAGGTTTCAAGAGGTAGAGAACATTATTAAATATTCTCTTTTATTTTTCCAGGCATGGCTGGAAAAATGTCAATGAAGAAATACAATATGTATTAATTTAAACACAAGTTTCCGGAGAATATCTATTTGGATTTAATCACGGTTAATAAATAAAAGATATCATTAATATTTTATAAACTAGGGTACCTGCAAGATAGGAATTGCTGCTGGCATTAAGAGGAAATAGAACTAAATACTACAAATTATATATAGCATAGTTATTACTTGCAGTGAGCGAGCGACTGGTGAGCACTGCATGTGGCCGGAGCTTAAGGATACGGAATCGATTCATGCCATGAATGTAAATGAGAAAAAGCATTGCATTTGTTGCCAAAAAGAAAAAGGTCATCATCTTTAGGGTAAGGGGTTAGAGGTTAGAGGTTAGAAATTGGATTAACGTTTGGATTAATTGTAAACCCATTACAACCCAATACTTTATTGCATACAATAGCATTACAACGCCAATAGATTATTGGTTACAGCGTGTGAAACGGCTCTATACACGGTATTAAACTAAGAAACCAAAACTTTGTAATAACATAGAAAACAAAGAACTGTAAAACTGTGGTCAGTGGCCAAAGTCCATTGAGTGAATTACAACGCCACAAAGTGCAGTCACGTTTTTTTATACGCTAAATTATGCCTTTACAGAGCCTAAAACTTTACTAAACCTTACGCTGAGTGCCTGAGTCAAAATAATTGACAAGTCGAAGCAAGTAAAACGATAAACGATATCTTTCAATTAGGCCTCAAATACAACCTCGTTACCAAAGCCGTTTTTGAAAATGCGGCGAAGGGAAAAGGCCCTGGCACCGGCTGGCTTTCAAACCACGAATCACGAATCACCAATAAATAAATTAATGATAAAACTAGAAAATACATGCATGCAGAAACCCTCGCCTTGCTGACAAAATCATTTTATTTTCCGAACGTGAAGATTTTAAGTAGTTTTCATGGTAACACGATAATTTTTTAAGAATATTTTTACAAATAAAAAATACCCTATAAATATCACTTTTAATTACAAAATTATCAATTTCCTAAACATATATATGTTAGGTATGTTATTATACGTAATATAAGCTTCAATTTAAGGTA